CAACAAATACAAAATAAATAATAGTCTGTCAGTCAGTCCGTCAGTGAAAGTAGGTGAAGCTAGGTGCTCATTCCAAAAAGTAGATTCGAATAGAGAAGAACGAGCAAGAAACTCCATTCGTTACTCTTTTTAACTCGTCGAGTACCATATTTATAGACACAATTAACGAACAAAAGGTTGCGGTCACCGGTGACCGCTCGGTGTTTGACAGTTTAAAAAAGTATGTTCTACAATGTCTCTGATACATATTTCAATACTGCACGCATATACAAGACCAATGCAAAGACACGCTTGACGCATTATACTAAAACTTACTAAAATAAAAAAGCATTAAAAAAGCATTAAAAACTGACTGAAACTTCAATAAAGAACGAAATGCTCGATGCCATAAGGAAACTAGATTGTCTACATTAGAATTAAAGCATTAAAATATGTATTAAATTACCTACTATTGGAATTTAACTACTGACTACATTTGAGTATTGTACTTGAAGCGACTGTCATAGATCTTCAAATTATAACCTGACTATCTACTTTCGCTGCTCCAGCCCTATATAACGTTAGTTACCTGTACATCCTCTAGACTGCATCAGCTCTGTACAGATACTTGGGACTTGCTCCATAGCCGCGTAAAATCTCTCACTTTCGACACACAGTATGATCTGTAGGGCGACGTTCTTTACCACCCACGTCTGCGATAGCACCGCAAATACCCAGAACTGGAAACATCAGAGTTACACTAAAGTAACCCTTATTGCTTTCAATAAAGAGGTCATCAAATAGTTAAATGACGATTTATAATCTATGAATCGGAATAAATCGGAAAGTGAGTTTGTTTGTTTGTTTGTTCCGCTTTTACGCCGTAACTACTAAATCGATTGCTTTGAATTTTTGCAGACGTAAAGTTAGAAGTCCGGAATAAATAATAGGGTACTTTTATCCCGGAAAAAATTTGATATTCCCGAGGGAAAACAAAAGTATTGGTATAGATGGCGCTGTGTGTATTGGTATATTATTATATCATAGGCTACTTTTTATCTTTTGGTGACGCGAAGGAAGCCGCGGGTAAAAAGGTAGTATGAACATGAATGGATAATTCTAATATAATAATTAAGTCCCAGCAATTTAAGAAAGGGATTTATGCTAGCTAATTGCGATGCAAACACTGGATCAACCACATCAAGACCAATATCAAATTATAGTCTTACTGCTAACAGGCTTTATAAAAGATATGAGAAGTAGATAATATTAGTTACTATACCCACAGTTACCTTGTCTTGAGAAGTCGTGACTATGTTCCTCAATTGCAATAGGATAGCTTCAGTCATCAACCCGTGGCAGACAGTGTGCATCGTGTAATATACAATCTGTGAATACAAAACAATTACTGTTTGTTACCTACTTTACTAAATGGGTATCTGTCCTCGACTACATTATATCCTGATTGACATCCTGGACAAAAATATGGCAATATTGTCTAATATTATACACGTGACCAACGTGACTTTTGTCACTTCACATCACACACACAAAATGTGGGAGAGCCATGTTTCGGCACGAATGGGCCGGCTCGACCGGAGTGATACCACGGCCGAGCAGAAAACCGACGTGAAGCAACGCTTGCGTTGTGTTTCGTCGTGTGAGTGAGGTTACCGGAGGCCCAATTACCCCCCCCCCCCTTCTCTAGTCTTCCGAACCCCCCGAATCCTCCACAATCCTCAAATTCCCAATTCCCAAAAGGCCGGTAGCGCAATTGTAACTCCTTGATGTTTCGGGTGTCCATGGGCGGCGCCGATTGCTTACCATCAGATGATCCGTCTGCTCGTTTACCGGGTTATGCTATAAAAAATAAAAAAAACTTTTTGCACATAAGACTATACTATACGAAACATTTACTTACTTGTAAACAAAATGTTATCCTCAGAAACTCGTAAGCTTCCAGAATATTTTCATACAGATCAAACATTGCGTTCCAATAACATTCATTATCACAATCCCCATTTGATTCAATTTCCTTTACCCAAGCAATTACCAGTCGTCTCAATAAACTTAAAATAAACGAAGCATACACGATGTTTATGTCAAACGTAATACTAGTATAACTCGATAGATGATCCCAGACGTTACCGACTATATGAAACATGCAATAATACGTATTACTCGAAATAAACACACAATTTAAAGCAATAATATAACACCAGTTAGAAACAACAAAAGTCTTCATGACTTTAACATCAATTTTAAGAATCCTAATAACATTCTGGACTTTCAGGATTAAAAAGACATTGTTGTGGCATTGAACGATGTTCGAGTAATAGTTTATGATGAAACCAATAGAAAAGAAGATGAAATCGTCAATGTCACAGAGGCTGAGGAGAGAGGTGATACCAATAATTTTGTTTATAGAAGTAATGAGAGTGTACAACAAGATAAAGCGGAATATGAGTGCGCAGCTGAGGCCGATGTAATTGTAGGTGGAGGTGTTGGAGACGATAAAGTTGTCGCGGATGGAATATTTCGCGCAAATGAAGAGGCGCTGCATGAGGTCCAGCGGCTTCAGAGCAGACTGTAGCTCCTTATCTACCACATTGTGTAACAATACTTCTCTGTACGTCACTGTTGGTGCAGTCCTTATGATGACTTCATTATTATTAGTTTCTGAAGTCTTCCCAAACTCAGGCAACTCATAAGGCATTATGTTTGATTTTTTAGTCTCGTGTTAATAATTATGTTACAGATCAATTAGTAAAGTGAACGTTAAGGATAATTTAATTTGTCAGTAGCTAGTAGTAAATAAAGTAGTCGACAGTATCAATATTACTCAATTAATTTGCAAGTAATAGATAACATGAGTTGTTTAACAATACCTACCTCCTTGCATAATGCACATCAAGGAAACTACCTCTACATTAATTAATTATGGTAAACGAATTATTCACATCACTGTTTGGTAAGTTAGCTCTACTAGTTAAATTCACGCTAGCGGCTCATGCTCCTATCCTTAGTAAGAAAGACCACTTGAATGTATGTGCAGCTGTACAATCCCCAGTAGTCTCAATATTAGGTATTAGTAATAGCGTGCGGCGCGTCGAGTTCCGCCCGCGCCTCAAAGAGACATCAGACTACCACAGATGGGGCCCAATAGGGCTGATGCCGATACGGAGCCGCGGAGAACTTAACGAGTTATCGGGGCTCCGGCTCGACGTGCAGGAGAAGGAACGGGGTTGTTTTTAGTCAGTAAGAGTCTGACACTTCCTCCCGCCTCACCCAGGCGGGAGCAGTCATTCGATGATTTTCCCCTGTTAAAAAAAACCCTATAAAAAACTTTAAGTTATATCAAAGTTAAGTTATGAAAAGCGCCTATTGATTTTCACTTTATTGCGTCCAATATCAATGTCCCTATTTACCAACTTATAGGTACATCGTATTTTGAAATTAGAAGCCTATTTAAGTACCTACCTACCTATGCAACGCATACATACATGATTACAGATGGATTAAGCATCGTCAATATTCTTTTATAAACCAATAGAACAACGACCTATTTATAAATATTTCTATCATCATAGTTTTCGAGTAGGTAGGTCTGCATACCTATACCTTCTCTATTAACTAAAAATCGCGGGTTACTCACGTGAATATACTGATCGCGGTCGCGCCTATGTCACGCAGCCTACTGTATGCCCGTGACCGCATACGCTGCTCATGAGGAAGAACCCCTCCGTATTCGAAACTAGTAGAGCTTTTCTCAGTTTTAGTCTTCTTAATTTAGTATGTCTGACGATATATATCATAAAAAATATACCTAATCTACTTACCAATATTTTTCTTTTTATTATTTTTTAGTAACATTCTTAGGTAGCCAAGTACCTAAATACCTTTTTTTGTAAGGATGGATCATCACCAAACGACTCCTACCACTCAGGTCTTTTTTTTTGTAGAGTGGGGAAATTCATCCAATGACTTCTCCCGCTCGGGTGAGGCGGGAGGGAGTGTCAGACTCTTACTGACTAAAAACCACCACGTTCTTACTCCTGCACTTCGAGCCGGAGCCCCGTCAACCCGTTAAGTATCAGCACTACTCAGATCTAGACGGAAGGGAGTGTCAACGTGTTCCTGTTCCAATTCCAACCATTATATTCCAATTCTTGCCTTTTGTTGGGGCCGCGGTATTGAATTACATTCCTAAGTTCACAAAATTGATATAAACCTGTTGATTGGTTGGTTGGTTGGTTGCAATTTAATTTAAGTAATAAGTAAGTAGTACTTAATTTAAATTGTTTTTTAAAAATAAATCTCAGTAGTAGCACGGAGTCTAGAATTGTGCCCGGTATATGGCAATAGGCTCACCCCCTAAAACATGGCACTCAAAACATAAACAGTGAAAAGTGGGTGTTACATTGTAAAGTGGTGTTAAGTGCCATAATGTACACCTCTGCCTACCCCTTTGGGGATAAAAAGGAGTAATGTTATGTAATAGGCCAATGATCGTTAACAGGTTGGCACAGGTCATGACAAGTTGACAAGTTTACACAAGTCCTGACAGGTTCGCACTAATAATACCTCTATAAAGATTTACAGGAATTTATTAGAAATAATTGATAATAGCATAAAGTGATAAGATAAGACGGGAAGATTAAGTTTTCCATCTTATCTTTGGCCCGACTACCTATCAACTACCCGACTACCTACGACCTACTTTGTATAACTGAGGATTAACTTGTGAGTTTAAAGAAAATGAAGTTAAATCCAAAAAAAAATTACCTAGTGCTGTCGCACAAAGGATTGCATGATAAACATTTATGGAATTGATTTCCGAACGCTCCAAAACAGCATAAGTGACAAATGAGAATGTCAATGTCAATAGTCAACGCCGACGTCATGTAGATTGTAGATGTCAAACAAATGTAAATAATCGTACGATTTGATAATAAAACACATAGAAAAGTTATTTTTGAAGAAATATTTTGTGTTCCTTCGCGTATAAGTGTATGTGTAACACATCCTACAGTCCTTAATGCAACAACATCCGGGAGTGACTAATATTGCAACGAGGGAGGTCTAAAATGAATTGACCAATAGCGCTTCAGTGGATAACTGATAAAGTAATGCTGTCTGCATAATGTTGGAGGCAATCGGTAAGCATTTACGATTTCTCAGTTTTCATCATGGCGCCGATAGCTACATACGTGTTTTTAGATTTAGAGACTACGGGTCTCCCAAAACTTGATAATAATAAAACACGAATTACTGAGTTAAGTATGGTGGTAGTGAAAAGACGGCACCTTCTGGACACCCGGCCGGGGGCCGTGCCGCGCGTGCTTGACAAACTGTCGATGTGTTTCAACCCTGGAAGAATGATTCACCCAGACAGCACCGAAATCACTGGACTCAACAATGACCTCCTGGAGCACAACACGCTATTCAACGTGAATGTGTTTAATACGATTAACTCGTTTCTACAATGCCTAGAGAAACCGGTTTGTTTGGTTTCCGAAAATGGCCATTCATTTGATTTTCCAATCTTGAAAAATCACTTTGAGAAGCTCGGTGTGCAGTTACCTGATGATATCTTATGTGGGGATAGCCTCTATTCATTCTATGATATACTTGAGTCATCTAATGGGGCGGACAGTACTGAAGGGAGCAAGTCGCTTGTCAATGTTGCTGAAAATGGTGACAAAGAAAAGGAAGTGAAACTGTGTGATGATCCGTCAGGTGAAGCTACACCAAAATGTGAGGAACAAAGTGCAAATGTCGAAAATTCTCAATCTGAAGAACTTATAACAGAAGATGTAATGAAACATTTTGATGAATGTGATGATTTGAAATTTCAACAGATAATGAAAGAGCAGAATAATAGAACACCACAACAGAAACCTATAAGACAAACATTGACAAAGATCAAGAAGGTTAAACGGAGGATATTTTTTGAAAACAAACCAAAACCTACACGCTCATATAAGCTGAAGGATATATATGAGAGGGTGTTGAACCGTCCTGCGAATGAGGCTCATCGGGCTGAGAATGACTGTCTCATGGCAATGGAAATATCCATTAGTATGGGACAGCAGTTTGTGGAATATCTGGACACCGAGAAAAATCAGTGCAAGTTCAGTGAAATAAAGGCTATGACTCCAGGCGTGCCACTGGGGGATTAATTCTGTGCCAATGGTGGAAGTGTTGTATTTCTACATAATTTTCATTTACTACAATTTTATTATATAGATATTTTGATAACTATTCAATGAAATGTTAAGTACATGGCACAAATCGTGAGGACACTGTCTATAATGTATATTGAAGTATTTTGGAATTTTATCTTTTATTTGTTTTAAATTTTGAAAAATATATTGTTTTTGTTGCATGTTACACTATACTATATTACAACAGTAATAATATCATTAGACACTTTTTTGTAACTCAATCAAATTATAATTATGGAATTTTTAAAATGAGATTATTTTTTAATTAAGGTTATTACACGAAAACAAATTATTGATCTCAAAAGAGAGTATTTTAGATACCAGGTGCATTTTTTTAATTTATCAAATTTAGTATGTATTACTCTTTTTTTATTATTTATAAGTGTATACTTGCAATATTAAATAAACTTGTGAAAGTGATAATTATGTATGTATTATACAAGTGGATATATACATACATATAGATTTAATTCGTTTTGACTGTAATATTGATCTCTATTTCTAATATACCAAAATTCTAAATTATTTTATTTATTTTGAACAAATGAAATACAACTTTATTTGCTATTGCAAAGGGTAGAGGTAGGTAGGTAGGGTATTTTATACATTTAAAAAACCATTGTATTGATATTAAATTGTGTAACCCATAATAATGCATTTATGCTATAATTTTACTACAATTTATGTTTATTGTTTATCAAAATAAAAGTATTTTTATACATAACTGATTTTTAATTGGCCATTTTATTCATATATAAACTTCTTAGGGTCACCCCCTATTACATGGGACTCATAACATAAATGGTGGAATGTGGGTGTTACATTGTATGGTGGTATAATGTGCACCTCTGCCTACTCCTTCGGGGATTAAAGGCGTGATGTTAAATTATGTTATGAACTTCTTAATCACCAGCTAAATGCCTAACTAGGTAGATAGTAGGAAAATAAAGAGACAAAAATAAATCAGTTTCTACAATCTTTGATACACCTAGCTAGCGTAGAGATAATGGCAAACTCCTCTTACGTAGAGGAGGCCAGCAGTCTGGCCCCTGCCTGTCACTGACTGTTGATATATTGAACAACAAAACAATGTAACCTAGAATTGAATTGTAATCCTGATTGAAAAAGAGTAACCTATTGAGTTTCTTACTCGTTCTTCTCCATTGGAATCTACACTTTGGAATTGGAACATGCAAATAGCTTCACTAGAGGACTAACCGACAAATTGAAATTATTTTAATATTTCAATATTTTGTTTTGACGTTCAAAAGTGCCTTCCTGGTCACATTGGAATAAATGATTTTTACTTTGACTTTGATTTTATAAATAAGTAAATGGAAAAGTAAATTCAATTTTAATCTGATGTAGTAATGCTAGCTGGAATCAAGTTTTACCCTGATCTATTGCAAGATCTTATGATGATGTTTGATAAGAAAGAAGGTCAATATACTACCTAACTAGGTATATTGTTTTATTGATTTAAAACATTAGGTATTTTTTTTTATCAATGTAGTTCTTGACTGTTGACCCAAAACATGTCGTTGATGTGCGATAATATTATTATCGTTGGTTATTATCGAATACCTACCATTAAATAGTTTTCACACAATGGGGATGATGACAGGTTATGAAAATTAAAAATATAATTAGACCATAAGTTAGGTTTTTAAAAAATCTATGACACGTATTTTTTTATTTTGTCGTATAATAAAACAATACTTAAACTGTCAAACACCAAGCGGTCACCGGTGAGCGCGACCTATTGTTCTTTAATTGTGTCTATAAAACCGGTACCCGACGAGTTAAATAAAACGAATCAAAGTTTAGGAGTGGGGGCTAAAACGTCATTTCTTAGTGTAAAATGTACTGAGAAGTGACGTCACGCGACATTTCAAATCAATATATCTTCGAAACTATTGGTTTCCGTAAGAAAATGAAAAATACGTGTCTAATGTTTTTAAATAATCTACCAGACGGACATTAAAATAAAAATTAGTCGTCTACCCTATTTTTAATTAATGAATACAAATAAACACTTTTTACACATACTGGCATCAATTCCTAACTTCTATCCGATCCTAGTACATTTTCCTAGTAGGTATGTGTTTCTCAAAAGTCTTTTAATAACTTCTTAGGACTTCTGGTGTTGACCGGTGTGCTATGGGGCTGCACCAACCCCTTCATCCGCCAGGGTACGAAGGGACTCCGTGACGTCACCGCCACCACAGTGCAAGGACAGATCTGGGCTGAAATCACCTTCCTGCTTGGGAATTGGAAGGTAGCTAGATCGTTAAATTTTAATGTTGAATAAGAAATATCCAAGTCTAAGTACTTCTCCCGTAGCCGTGGAAAACTCAACAGGTTACAGCTCCGGCTCCTCCATGCAGAAGTAGAAACGGGGAGGTTTTTAGTCAGTAAGAGTCTGACACTCCCTCGCCTCGACGAAGGTGGGAGAATTCATTTGATGATCACCCTCCCCCCACCCCCCAAAACAAAGGACGTTTATGGAAGTTTATGGTCTTCATATCAACCAACTAGATAAGAGGTTTCCAAGAACTTACGTACCTGCTTTTCTTAAATACATATCTCTATCTTATCTTAAAGTACCAAATTCCGGGAATCACTGCGTGGAATTGAAAAAATCTTCTTAACTAAGTTCAATAGTCCACTTTGTCTAAGCCCTATAACGTCACGCTACAGCCAATACGAGCCAAACGGCGGTAGTAACTAGATTATACATATCAAAGTGTGGGAGAGCCATGCTTCGGCTTGAATGGGCCGGCTTGACCGGAGTGATACGACGGCCGAGCCGAAGACCGACGTGAAAAACGTTGTGTTGTGTTTCGTCGTGTGAGTGAGGTTACCGGAGGCCCATGGCGTGAGCCTGATTATGGCGATTTATAATCATTTCAGATCACCGTGTTAAGTACCTTATTTTGCAAATAAAAAATTTGAATTTGACATTATTTATATATACATGTAACTCGTCAGTACGTGTTGCCGTGGCTGGTGAACCAGACAGGCTCGCTGAGCTACCTGGCGGCCTTGCAGCGCGCCCCCCTCTCAGTGGTGGTGCCCACCGCCAACAGCCTCGCCTTCGTCTGCACCGCACTCACCGGCGTCGCCGTCGGAGCTGAGGAACCTCTTGATGCAAGTAAGAATTCACACTGTACTAGCAACCCGTCCAGGCTTCGCATGGTTTTTGTGTTTTTCTACTACCTCTATATTATGCATGTAATTTTTAAAAGGCTGTAGTGAGATTGTTGAGTGACCATAATACGTAGTGTAGTTTTTTAATATGTACCTATTTAGAGATTTTATTTAAATTTTTAAAATTTTTTATTTTACGTTTTAATTTTAAGCATTTCTTAGTTTTTATTTTATTTTCCAATTATCACAAATACTAATAAAAGTGTCATCGTTAGGCTACTGTGCATGTTGTAACACCTTAAAATGTTGTCATAGTTCATCCTAATTCCATTAGCAGTTTTGACATGATTAAGTAACAAACATTCATGTAAACTCGCAAAGGAGTAAGTACTGCTAAGGAGTGGAACTCTTTGCCAAAGACTGTGTTTCCTGAAGGGTACAACCTGGGTGTCTTCAAGGCCCGAGTGAATAGGTTGCTTATAGGACGACGTGCTCCATCGTAGACCGCATCATCTCTTACCACCAGGCGAGACTGGTCAAACGTCGGCCCATCAATATTAGTCAGATAAGATTATTTCCATTTTTATTTCTTCGAATAAAATTCTATTCTCCTGTTATTTTCAGAGTCCATAGCTGGCATCGTGTTAATCATGCTGGGTACAGCTCTTTGCTGCTTCGAGGATAACAGTTGACGCTCCAACATACTAATAGGTAATAACTGCCTTTAAAACCCCCAACATGTACTAAATTTTAAGAAATCCTTCAGCTAACATATGTGACACCTAACAGTATCTACAACTAACTAGTAAGGGGTTAGTTTAGGAGCTTAATTTGTAAAAATGTTAACGGATTTTCCTAATAAAATTGCCATTAAGCGAAATAAATAAAAATATAGTAAGTAGATCTTGTCTGCGGTTACCATAAGTTTATGGGAACTTGGTGAACAAAATAATCAGTATTTTAATTTTCCATTTTTATTTTATTTTTGTCAAAATGTATTTTACAATAAATATTACAAAATAAGAGGCACATTATAACTTTACAAGCATTTTTGGTAAATGTATTTTTTAATAGAAGTGTATTATTAAAATAAATGAAATATGTAACGGTATATTGTATCGGTCTGAGATCTATAAAAGCGAATAACTAATAGACATTCTCGCTTATAAAATATATCTTTGCCTTTTCTTCCATTCGAAGTTTGATAAAGACAGAAATATAAGTAAGACAAAAATGTGATAGATGGGCGAAAGAATAGAGTACAATTGAAAGTTTAACATTATTTATCAAAGCTCACGGTATACATAAATTGCCACAAAATGTATAAAATATAATAACTATCGTGAGACACTAAATTAACTAAAATCGCGGATTACTCACGTGATTATCAGTGAGCTGCGCGACGGCGCCGCGACCGCGCACGCTGCTCATGAGGAAGAACCCCTCTGTGGTTCGAAACTAGTACAACTTTTCTCAGTATATTCACGTGAGTAACCCGCGATTTTAGTTAATGTATAAAAGGTTCAAAAACGTTACAAATGCATTGCCTATTGCTTCAAAAGCGTTATTACCCAATGAGGGCTGTTTTTTCGCTCACCACATGGTGTTACTATTACTTTTGTCCAATCACGGTAGCTATCAAAAATTCAATGTACACACAGCTATACATTCTCCAATATAAACTGACCCTCGGATGTGTGGAAAGGTCATATAAAGGCAGGTCATGATCATCATTGACTGCACGGTTGGAGCGGTGGTTAGGCAACCGGCTGCCGCACGACATGGGAACGATTCCCGCACGCAACATTTCTTTGTGTGATCCACAGATTGTTGTTCCGGGTCTGGGTGTCATGTGTATGTAAACTTGTATGTTTGTAAACACACACACGACACAGGAGAAAATCCTAGTGTGGGGGCAAAGTTTTTTTTAAAATCTAATTTTGTATAGCTCTTGCCAAACCAATATAAACTAAGCGTTGAATGTTCGGAAAGGTCATACAAAGAGAACGCGATAAATTAGTTTTTATAGCTCAATATGTAGTCGTGTGTACAATGATTTTACGCTACCAAGTTCTTTATTAGTTCTCCCTTAGAATTTGTACGAATTTCTCCTTATAATTTTAAACCAGTTGTGTTTCTTTTTGCCACTTGTATTTTGAATTTCGTACAAAAAAATTCTTACCTGTCTATAGCTAGAGGTACATTACTAATGGGATATCAGTGCCTTTAGCCAAACGCTACTTTAGCGCTTGTCTACAGAGAGACTAGAAAACTAAATGTATGGAGATGAAACTGACAAGTGTCAAAATTTACGTCAATTCCATATAATTTGGTGTTTTGTTCTACAAGTAGACAAGCGCTAAATGGCATTTGGCTACAGCTGCAGTATTTACAATGATTAAAAATATATTGCACTGCTATTGCATTTAGGAAAATACATTATACATAGACAAGTGAACAAGTATTCAGTATTATTTATTTATGACCAGAGCGTATTAATTTATTTTACCTTCGAAACAAAACCGCGTTCGACGCTCTGATTGGTTGGTTCATTGGAGCCGGCCAATCAGAGCGTCGAACGCGGTCTCCTTTCGATCTTGTTGAATGTAAACCAAATTCTTACTAAGTCTTTAGTATATGGGATTTAATTGGACCTTAGTAACAAAATTAATAAACAATCAATGTATTATTAGCTACTGTTAAGGTCTAGACAGACGGGTCGCATTTCAACTGCAAACCAAACGTGCAGTTCGATTGCAGTTCTATTGCAGTCATGACATGACCAAACGGTTGCAAACCAAACGAGCAGCCCGATTCACTGTCATCGGACTCAACTGCGTTTGGTGTTTTGCATTTGAAATGCGGTTCCTCTGTTCCGAGCCTTAATAATAAAAGGACGGGTGGCAGCGAAGAAATTAAGTTAGTAACAATTGAAATTCAACTTTAAACCGTTTGAAATACGGCTGTGTTCGAAATAATAGAGTTAAATGAATCCAAGAGTTGGTAAGAATGTTTTCTTTTCTCTTTTAATTTGTGATTTAAGTTGTGTTAAACTGTTCTTCGCCCCCTCCGTCTGTCAATGCTGATGCTTAGTCGATTTTGGATGGTTTTTGAATCATAATTATTGTTATCTGGTCAATATAATTGCACCTTAAATTAGTAAAAAGATAAAGATATCAAGAACAAAATTTGATTAATTATTAGTATAATTATGTATGACCACTGTAAAAATATTTTTAAGTATTGTAAAACAAATGATGAAGATAAAGCGGTTGTCATTGTTTCTTTTTTATGAACTGTGCCACTATTCAATAGAGGGCGCATGTGTATATTATAAAGTAGATACTATAGATAGATGAATGAAATAAGTTATTTATTTAATAAATACGTATGTTATTAAACAGCGATTATGTTCTAAGATGACAGTATGCCCAGTATACGTTTTAGGGTATGGTTCCCTCTTAATCCCAAGCAACGCCACAGGCTTTTAAACGACAGTGGCGCCACCCAAAATAAAGTATACTGGTCACACTGTACGGAAAATGATGAAATGACTAAAATACACTTTGTAAAATCGTTCTTAGTTATTGCATTTTTACTTATAATTAGTTTATTTTTAATAATAAATATTACTAAAAATATCTGACTAGTTTAATTTTATTTTACACATTTAAATTGACAAAACTAGTTCTAAGTTTTTTGGTATAAATTATTAGTTTAAGACCTTTAGGTCACACCTTAGGTTTTAAGTTTTAACAAGAAACGGAGACATCAAATAAAAAAATAATAAAATCTAGACAAGCCAAAACCTAACCTAACCTAAAATTTACAGTTTAAAATGTTTAATGTACAATTTAGACCAAATTTTTACAAATTCTTATACCTATAACACTTAAGGACCGAGGAATATAACTTAACTAGCTACTTCCGCGCGGTTTCACACGCTCTGCTCAGCTCCTATTGGTCGTAGCGTGATGTTTTATAACCTATAGCCATCCTCGATAAATGCGCTATCCAACACAAAAAGAATTATTCAAATCAGACTTGTAGTTACGGAGATAAGCGCGTTCAAACAAACAAACTCTTCCGCTTTATATAATAGTGTAAGATTAAATGAAACTGTCACAATCTCGTTACATTTCACTACGACATATTACATTTAATGACGTCACATTACATTTACCGACTCTCAAGTTGGCTAGGCCGTTCAAATTATTGTAAGTTTCGAATATAAACCGAAAATTTGTCTCCGTCTTGCATCTACAAAATAAATTATAATAATATTTACAATTTTTAAGTACTTTTTCCTAATGTTTAATAATGAATTATAATTCAATTTTATACAACATACTCAACAATTTTATGACAAGAACGAGGCATATATCGAACTCCTCAAATTAAAGAAAATATTGCATCCAAATGGTTTACCCATTAAAGTACTCTATTGCACTTAACTTTTGGTACGTTTTCGAATGTTAATACCAAAAATGTGTCGCGGAGAACCTAACGGGTAACCGGGGATCCGGCTCGACGTACAGGAGAAGGAACGGGGTGGTTTTTAGTCAGTAAGAGTCTGACACTCCCTTCCGCCTCACCTAGGCGGGAGCAGTCATTCGATGATTTTCCCACCTTAAAAAAAATACCTAAAATGTACCTAACTCCAATTTTTGTTTCCAATAAAAAAGAACTTTACTGTATGGTAATTAAGTGTATATTTCTAAATCCTACAATATTTACAGGACAAGACAATGTACTAGCATTTTGTACAGTATATTGCCAATGAGTATAATCCTACCAAATTTGGTAAGGACGTTATGTACAGCGAAATAAGTATTCTCTTATGTATAGTTTAAAGGGTGTATTGAATTTAGGCGGGTTATTGATAAGTCCTAAATACACTGAATTCCTTTCTATACAGCATTGTACACACACACACACACACAAGTGATCTATTTAAACGTCTGTGTAGATGGCGCTGTAGTAGTTTTTAGCTGGCTAGATTTGTTTGATATCTTAGATTTTAGGTTTAATATATATAATTATGTAAATTACGATTAGAATATATGTATTGCTATGTTCATTTAATAGAATAACACGTAGTTTGGATCCATTATGGCTTCGCTGCAGAGACAAGACTAACATTTTTAATTTAGGTACAGTATCCAGCACATCAACCTACGCTAATGTGTCAATTTTTGTCATTGGATTTTCGATTTTATACTTAAACGATAGAGTTGAAAATCTATTTTGGCAGAAAAGAGTAGGTCGAGGTGCTGCCCACTGTACCTACGGAATAAAATCACATCAGTCAGATATCAAAATGTAATTAATTAGGCAAATACTTGGTAAGTATTTAACTTTCTGTTCATTTATAACTATTTTAAGACTCTAGACATGTCTTTATTCACTAAAAACTATTCTAGTGCGTATATGTTTAAGGATGCATATTGTTTGGCAGGACCTTCCTATAATAACGTTGTTTAACACCCTGTTTACGAACTAGTGCATATTTTTTTATTAATCTTTTATTCGGGTATAATGTCTTCTTGATGTAAAGGTCGACACTCATTCATGTATGAAATATCTTACTCAGGCTATGCAATATTTTGTGAATTTTCTTCACAATATAGCAAGAAGTTCTTCAAAAAAGAAATAGAACTTTGTGAATAACCTTTTTTACGACATTTACATTATGATAAAAGGCGTCTTGATACTATGGACTTGTACCTATCCCTATAGAACTTGAACCTGTATTATTTTCCTTAAGGTTATTTCCTTTTTTGATCACTTTGACTGGATTTAAGTGTTACATTGTTCTCGCACAATCCAAACAACAAAACTATGTAACTAGTAAATTGTATTGTGAACCTGATTGAAAAAGAGTAACCTATGGAGTTTCTTGCACGTTCTTCTCCATAGGAATCTACACCTTGGAATGAGCAAATAGCTTCACTTTTAATTTTTTTTTGTTGACCTTCAAAAGTGTCATTCTGGCCTAATTGAAATAAATGATTTTGACTTTGATCCACCATATTTTAAGTCATTTTCTACCTTAACGAAGTGACGACCCATTCTGTGCCCCTAATAGTTCCTAATAATATCAATGGCCTGTTGTATCTTCTTCAGCGATACTCGCAGTTTGTTCTCTTCGACGGAGAGGTTCTGTCGCTCGGCCAGCAGTGCGCGCGCCGTGTCTGAGTCACGTGACGCGGACCTCGTGATGTGAGCGCCCTCTATCTTGAGTGTAGTATTCCGTTTGTGCAGGTCGATTATTTCTTTTCGGCGAACTGAAATTGTAAGGGTATTTATTAGTTTACTGATATGATTGTTATTATCTTCTCGTAGGCAAGCCTTGCAAAAGATTATGTATAACTAAACTAGAAACTTAACAGTCGCATAGCTACCACTCCACTAACGAAGCAGTTATTTTTATTGTCCACTTGACTTATTATTTGGTCGAAGTAACATTACCTGCATCATATTCCCGGTAACTCTTCGCCAGAGCCTCCAGCCCGGCCCACGTGGGCTCGTCCACTTGACAGCCAATGTCACGAGTCAGTCCAGAGGGTGCTGTGTCCTCTTCGACCTGTGTCACCCCCGCTGCTGAGTTCTGAGGCTCGTCCATAGACGTCGCCTGTGTCGACGTTGTAGTCGGACACTCCTGTGTCGTTTTCAAAGAAATTATCTTCGCTACACTTGGAATTTTTATCTTAGGATAGTTTTCATACGGTTGCTGCACTTTTATGTTAGGATTTTTAATGTTCTCACTGTCGAACCCCGGGTTTAAGTCCCTTTTTCTTGTGTTCGGAGTTTTAAACAGTTTCACACTAGTGTCAGCCATTTTTGATAGTCGGTTCAGTTCAGAGAAGTTCTTCTCTGCTAACACTTTAATGCTTTCTTCGTTTGAGTCTCCATTGGATGTGGAATCTAATCTCTTTTTGATGAGATTATTATTTTCGTTGACAAATTTCTTGATTTCCGTCAATAATCTGAGTTGACAATTAGGGTCAAACCCCAATCGAGGTTCTTTACAATTATCATCCAAATCTGGATTACTATATCGACGTTTCCTTTCCTTTAATATTTCTTGCCAGACCTTGTCGTAGCCTGAAATTGAAAACCATAATATTACATTATCATCAGCTTACATCAGCTTAACAAAATGATGTTTATTAGAACTTCTAGAGATTTCTCTCCAATCAATGTCTACCTACCTTCTTTGTATTTCTGCGTGACTTGTGTTAACTTCAACTTTGACAGAAATAACTTCTTCCTTTGCATTGTTGCTCTGTTCTCCGGTTGTAACTCAGCCACTGCGTTATCTTCTTCCATCTCTTCATCCTTTGGTTCTTCTTCAACCGTCACGTTACGCAGCACGTCGAGGCGACCCACTGCAGCATACGCGGCTGCCACAGAGTCATTTCTTAGCACCTTGTCTTGAAGTTCCAACTCTCTCTCTGTAACATATTGAATAACGCATATTATTTTTTGTTATAATTATCAGTTTTGTAATAATTTCTATCTTTACCTTTGTAAGGAGTTAGCTAATCTTACCTTTAAAATCCTGTAATGTCGCTAATCTCAAATGAGACATAAATTCAACTTTTCGCTTTTCTTTATCATCTTTAACGCCAAACTCGTCGATAATTTCTTCATACACTTTCATGTCATCCTCGCCGTAGTCATCAGAGTCACTCTCACTACTACCATCGTCCGCTGCTTTTCTTTTCGCAAATTCTTTATATATTTCACTTTTAACTTTATCGGGTGTAATAATATTATTACGAATTTCAGTCTTTTCAACCACCTTCTTAGCAGGTTCAGGTTTGGCATCAGCTTTAACTTCTTTATTGTCACGGTTCGACAAATACTTGAGTCGCCTCAAACGTTTTCGTTTCTCATAATCATCTAAAGAACTAACTTCTTCTACTTTGTTTATTTTTGGCCTTATGTTTGTTATAACTATTTTGGGCTGTAGTTTTGAATCCATTTGGTAAGGGCAAGCTATAAACAATTTGTCATTTGTTTTACGTTGCTCAGATTTTTTGGGAGCTTCCTTCTTCGGCGCTATAAATTTTGGATAGTCTCGCTTTTTAAATGGTTGGTTCACTTCAGCTTCTACAATAGTGGTAATAGGTACTTGGTAAACGATTTGTGGGCTAACAATAACTGTCGGATTAGCTTGAATTACTATATCAGGCTTTGTTATGTTGGGAAGAGTTTGTAGCACATTACTGCTAGTCTTTAGTACTTGTACTTCTTGAGTTACTATAGTACTAGGTTTTGAAGATTGTACCTCTGTAATACTTTCAGTACATACTGTCGCCGGTGTCATGGCTGCTGGTGCGATCGCTACTGGTACAGCAACTGTTGTAACAGTAGTACCAACAGTAGTAGGTGTAGATATTTCAGGTGCTATTTTAATTTCCTTTGGTGCTAATTTTGGTTTATTTGAATCGGGTGTTTGTGTAACTTTCGAATTGTTCTTAATCATCATCAAGTTGGGAAATTGAACGTTGCTCAAATATACAAAATTTGGTTGCAGAACCACGTTTTTAGTTTCAGTTACTGTTGTCGTTACTTTTTCAGTTACTTTTTTAGTTTTTAAATCTTGTTCCTGCGATGTTCCTTGAGATTTCTCCTTCACGACTATCTTATTACCATATATTTGATTTTCAGTAATCAAGTTTTCGAAATCGTTTTCGTCGCAATTCTCTTGGTGCAATCTTTTCAATGCAACCACTTTCGACGAAGTACTTTCATTCACTACATCCTCTTTACATTTCTTACTTTGGCTTGACAGTCGTGAAGGAGCTTGCAGGTTTTTTGAATCGAAGTTAGCTCTCTGCAAAAGCACTTGTGGATTCTGCTGCTGTATCGTCAGCAGCATTTTTGGATTCGTGTTGTTCTTATTTTGTATGAAAACTATTTGATTCTTCTGCTCATTATAAGACTGCTCTGGTGGTTTACTGAAATTGACTTTACTTGTTTCAATATTAATTGGGTTAAATAAAGGCCTCTGCATAGAAGGTGTGTCTTTTACTTCAGATGGCGTGTCGATCTTTGGCTCTGGCACACGAAACTGATTATCAGTTTTGTTAACCGGTTCACTAGGATTAATTAATGTACAGATATTGCTGGTTGGTGGCACGCTAGGCTTTAGTTCTTTAACTTCAGGCTCTTTTGTAGCCGATTTTATAACAATGTTACTCTGTATTTCAACTCTTGGTGAATCTTTGGTGAAAGACGTTGAGAATGGTTTCTTAGCTAAAGAATTTTGGAATGCAGTGTCAGGCGGATTACTTACACATTTCATATCTATTTTACTAATGGGTATACTAGTTTTTAAACTAAACCGTTCTGGTTTCTTTTTGTTGAATTCTTTGTTTGGTAATTGTGAAGGTATTGTGACCGTAGCTCCAGATCCCTGTGCCAATGATGTGATACTCATTTTGGATTCGGTTGTTTGTGGGTTAGCAACTTCAGGCATCGAAGTAGCCGTTATTATTTCGGGAGTAAAGTGTTCCTCGAAGTCTGTCTGCTGTTTGGGTAGATCCTTAGGTGGTTCCATGTCCATGGTAGTCTCAACATCAACCATTGGCGTATGGGGTTCTTTACTCATTGTTGGGAATGGCATGTACTCTGAAGTGGGAACCTCAGGCTGTATTGGAGGAGGTATAGTCGGTGGAATAATAGGTGGATATTGAACTGAATTGATGGGTTGAAACGCTGAATATCCTGGTATTGAGTAGAGGTAACTTCCAAAATTCGGATACCCGTCCACTTGTTTTGGAGTCATGACGCTTGGGTTAGGATTTGGGATAGATGAGGGGGAGATCTTTGGAGAGTGTGGGATAGGTTTCGTTGGAATGGGAAACACGGGCTTTTCAAACATAATTTCGTCAGGTCGGTAGAGTTCTGGAGGTTTCGGAGGAATTGGTTCTGGTGGTAACGCTCGCTCCTGCTCCAGAATCGGTTTCACTGGAAGGATCACTGTAACATAAAAACGATTTCTATTACAATATTGCAGTGGATTTTTTAACCTGAAAATAAAATAGTATAGAGGTACTTATGTTTAACTTACTGTATTGTTTCAAGAACTTACTATTTGACTAAAATAAACCCTGAAAATAGGTTTAATTCATTGATTGATAGGTTGAAAACGTACCGGGATTCCTATAAGTACTTTTGGTTTTTATTAATTGACTGCATTGTCTACACATACCAACATCATGTTGCAATGAAAACTTACTCTAAGAAGTTATATAGATTACCGGGATTATATGTAATTTTCTATGCAGTGTATTTTATTATATAGATCTAACATCATATTCTGATTACGTTAAGTTAAAATTAAAAAGTAGGTTATAGTTTTGTATCCAGTACCTAATGTGACCTAAAAACGACGAGCGGTTTTTTACACAAATTATTATTTTCTAACAAAATAAATATCATGCTAAAAGTAGGAGTTGGATGGGTTCGCGTCTACACACATAAGTTCTACAAAGTTTGTGCACTGAGAAATATGGATGTTCGCAAAAAATAATATTAAGTACTGTCCATTTTTTCGAAATATCAGGGTTCATGAAACTTAGGAAATTGAATTTTATTTGCAACGAAATAATGAATATTTCTCAGTGCACCTTTTGATTTAAGTATAGCAAGCATTGTATAAGCGTATCTTTCATGCAATAGTAATCATTCATCTATGATACCTAGATACTTGATATTATGTTTATAAACTCTTACCTGTTTGTTCAAGAATTGGCTGACATAGCGATAGATTGTGCTTTGGTAGCGATAAGAATATTAAGGTAAAGAAATAGGGTTCCTAAAGCATTCATTGTACCTATTATTCTTTAAAGTTCTTTTTAGTGGTTGATTTCTAGATAATAATAATAATAATAAACGTTTATTTGCGCTTCATAGAATTAACACAGTGAAGCCCTGGCTCTTGTACTAGGTATCCCTGTATCACAAGAGCCAGAATGAATAGATGTGTCATCTAAATCAATGTTAATCGTACATAATAACTATTTATCTCCTTTCTCGTACCTTGAGCGTGCATGACAACTGTCTCATACACATGTCACGCTTGAATTCTACCTATGACGATTACAGCTTTCTTACTTGCCTTTTACGCTTCATCTACATTCATCAATCTTCATCTTCATCAATCATCATGCATTTAAGAGAAGGTTTATCAATCGTATCTATTAAATTCTGTACTATCATATCTTTTATCTTTATACAATTTTTTAGGCTATCTACTGAATTGAAGACTAGCAGTACATTTATTTATATCTGGGTTTCGAACCCAAGATTGTAATCACTGTTTTAAACTCATTTCACCTGACCTGGGTACCGAGATAATTATCATCACCCATCGGGCGGTTTGCTATTTATTGATGACATCGCACCTTTTCATTTATGTTTTAGAATCCATGTTTTAGCATTTATGAGTTCTTGTCATACCAGATGGGATTCGAACCCAGAAATCGTCTTCTGCATTAGATTCTATATTTTTCTAAGCATTAATTTTAAACCTTTTTAGATTCTCGGTTCTTGTTACTAGATTTTGGTTTGTCAAATACTTACACCATGATACAATAGTAGTGTGGTTATTCTGTGGTAGCGTGCCACTGGACTGGTAGGTCGCGATCACTGTCATCCCATATATACCTTCGCACGTCAATATACGTCACCTAAGTTTGTTTCAGACGATCTTGTTGTGCCGGATGTCTATCTTCTAATCTTCTAGTTTAAGTAATAAATGTAGCTGTTCTGTTTTGGTCCTATCTAAACTAAAATGTCACTGAAACTGTAATTTACTGTAAGGTACCTATCTTCCGAAATATATTAATGCCGTAATCATTCGATAGTAACTCGATGAGTAGATTTTGAAGACCTTATTAGCTAATTAGCAGCTAGATATTCACTAAATTTATGTAGGTATAGTTGTTTGTTATGTGATAAATAAAAAAATATTTTAAAAATAATAATAAAAGGTATTAACCTTATTTACTGTACAGTAATATTTTTGTTTAATATATCTGTGGTACGTAGGTAATATCGTTCATCCAATAGGAGAGCGTTGCCGTAATGATAATGAAAGCGGCCATTTTACCGCGCATTTTTTTAAACTATTAGATTGTCGATGGTCGTGTGGCTCGAAAAAACGACTCATCATAATTCAAGTGGTTACAAGGACTTTAAAATGCTGAACTTGTGAAACTGAAGTGATTTACCCAATGGCTGTAGGCAAGGGCGTTGAAAAAAGGCGGACATAATATGAATTATTGAAGACACCAAAATTTTTGTGGGTGTTATGGTTAAGTCTGGTTGTCAGCGTGATCGTTACCAGACAGACAGACAGAAGAAAATGACAGATGCGTATAAAGGTCTCTGCGCACAGCGGGCGCGTCGTCGTCGGTTACCGTCGCGTCGAGCGGGACGGCTCTGTGTGGCGTCGTCCGTAATATCTAGTACAATACAACTGCTTAGTGTCGCGCCGCGCCCGCTGTGTGCAAAGACCTTTAGTCTAGTAGCCAGGTGCCACAGTCGTTGTTTCAAGAGACTGTGCCCGCTTTTTTTCAACGTCCTTGGCTGTAGGTAGGAACTTTGTCCGATACTACAAGTGTAAGAAATCCTGTGTTTAGTACTAGCAATCAACTTGATGTGAAAAATGTGTTTGCCTACTTCTGCGGCAAAGAGCATCTTACATTAAAGTTCCTTCCAAAATTTTATTTCGATATATCTCGTATATTTTATTAGGTTGGTACGGTGTTTATTCATCAAAATACAGCTGTTGATATTGCAGTTTATGATTGCATTTACTTTGAGTTCCGTTGTATTTGGGAGCACAAACCTGTAGCCTGCAGGTCAGCCAGTGACGCACGGCATCGGTTCGCAACCTGTTGCGTCGTCCCGAGTTCCCGACTTACCCATTCTGTAGTGATTCCCTCTACACTTTGATACACCACAAAATTCCCTAACTGTTGGCACTTGTGTATATTTTTGTTGGTGGGTAATTTACATACTGTTGTTTCAATTTATAAGTACGGCAGCCTACACCAGAATTGGATTTGGATTTTCTCCTGTGTTGTGGCTCACAACAAACACACCCACAACTTGTGGGTGCGTTAACAACGTTGTGCGGTGCTAACACTAGTTGTATAAGTAAATTGTTACTAACCGTTTATGAGCTCTGAGCCTGAAATAAAGATTACTATTCTATTCTATTCTTATTTGGTTGAGATTATTCTCAAAACCAATGACATGGACCGCACAGAGACCGGCGACTGGAGATATTGCGAACCGCGATCGAGTTCATTTAAATTTTTCGACTTGAAAGTTACAGGATAGGCTAGCTGAAGTATTCCACAAATCCCACCTACGAAATACAACTCGCATAGTGCGAACACAATGAAATATAAAATATCGATGGAAGATAATATCTAAAAAGATACAATAATGTTAAAAATAAACTCTTTTCGAACATTACAATACTTACGTATCCACATTTTAAGTATTTCCCTATCGTACTAGTGCTGTACCTACGTTCTAAATTATGTCTGAACGATATCAACCTATTCTCTTTTTCCCCTTTTACACCTCTTGTCGTGTTCTATGACATATTCCTTTTTAATTTTCGTGGTCTTCTTCGCACAATGCGAGTTGTAGTTGTGAGATTCGTAGGAACGAAAAATTTGATATTATTTTTCTTTTAAATAAATCCCATCTATGGGTGGGATGTGGGGATTCTTCTGGGTGCGCTTCGTGGAATACCTCTGTTTTTGTCATCTTAATGAGATGACATTACGGCTGATCGCCTACGGCGACGTCGATACATTTTCTGCTAGTATTTCATAGGCACATAAATTATTTCATTACAATTTCTGGCCACGTTCCCGTGGGATAATAGTATGTAGTCTATATGTTACTTCAGACAATAACCTAACCCAATCCTAAATTTTAATACGATCCCTTCAGCCGTATTGACGTGATAGAGTGACAAACATTCACACAAACTTTCGCATTTATAATATTAGTAAGATGAAGAATACCAGCGGTGCGTGTCACTGGCTGGCACACTGGCACTTTCAAGACGATCAAGCTGCCTCGTTGAGTCGTTAGTAAGTACTTTCCTTTATATTATTCTAATTTATGCTTATAGATTTATCGTTTGGAGTTATGATTTATGTCTTCAGATATGTAGAGGTATAGATCTTCAACTTTTCAGTAAATAACTAAATCAAACCACAAGTTACCTAAAAGTTGTTACAAGTATAATGATTAATAGTTACAATTTCATCAGAGTGAACACTACTCGATAACTTTTACCTAACCTTACGTGGACGCCACGCCGAAGAAGAACCCGCCCATGAATCCGACAGAGAAGCAATTGTTCTTCTTTATGAAGCGCAGTACTCTGTCTAGCCACTGCTGGCTCTCCCCTGCAGTCTCCTTGACTCTGTCCCAGTTCACGTTTATGTATCCGAACTCCGCGGCGAAGTGGAGGAGGATGATGCTGCCTCCAAGGCCAACGGCCGCGATCCTCCCCACTCGGACGATCGACACACCCGCACCCCAACCCGTTATAGTCCCTAGTAGGAGATTCTGACTAGTTGTATGTTTAATACCATCTATTGTGATGTCTAAAAACGATTGGGTCTCCTTTGGTTTCAGTTCCTTGTCGGCCTGTTTCGGCAGGTGCCGCAAGTCAGTGTGCGGTATGGGCCGCGCCATCGGGAAGCATGTTTTTATGTTGTTATTTATCTTTAGGTACAAAATTGTTACGTTTGTTTTGATAGCTTGGTGGATGACACGTTGGGCTTGTCATTATAACAGCTGCTCTCTGCCCTACTCTGCTTTGTGTCTGGCATAGATCTGCAT